AAGGGGGTGCCCCCGGATCTGTGCGGGGGAGGGTGGGCCGGGTGGGCTGCAGCTGTGGGTTGGGGTTGGGCTGTGCTGCACTGCCCCCAGCCGCAGCTGTGGCCCAGCCGGCACAGATCCAGACCCCCACCCTCCGTGCCCTCCCAGATGAGCGGCAGGAGCACCAGTGGGAACCGCCAGACAACCAAATGAGCCACTCCCGGACCGGCAGCTCACAGCAGCAGGAGCTGCTGCCTCCCACTCCCTGCACCCCCCAGACAAGCCATAGCTCCATCCTGTGCCGCAGCGCCTACCCCAGCCCCACTCCTCCCTCACTGTCGGGGGCATTGATCTGTCCCCATGCCCCTTCCCTTCCCTCTCCACCTCTACCACACCAGACTTACCAGCTGCATGCAGCTCTCCAAGGCCTGATACCCTGGGCTGTGTTCCTCACCTCCTGCATGCTGTGCACAGGCATTTTATTGGCCACATTAGGCCGATTTCTGATATAGTCAATGTTCTTTTTATCGGTGCCCATCCAATATTGGACCAATCTATTGGTGCACCTCTACTATATAACCATGGAGGGAATGATTCAGAATTAGTGGATCTAGCCAAATAGCTTCACCCATTGCATTAAAATTAGTTTATTTTTGCTTTGTACTTTTCTTTTGTTATATTTTCACATTTTCAAACATCGTAGCTGCCACATGTAAAGTGGAGCAATAAGGCTGGGAAAAAAGATGGAGATTATCTTATTGCTAAGAACAAAGTAAAACCAAGAGCAGGATGATAACATAAATTGTCTCCTTATTTAATTTTCATGATCCTAGATGCTTTAGGAATAACAAAGGCAGGACTTATGGGTTTTTTGGGTTGCTTTTTTTAAATGTGGAGCTTCTGAACACAAGCCCCAGCACTGCCTGCGAGCTGCCTCTCTAAATGTGCCTATTGGTATGTACTCGTCACTATTCTGACAGCTAAACTGCCTCCTTTCCAGGGCATGATATACCAGTGTGGGAGAAAATGGGTGGGGATCACTTCTTTGTGGCACTTCCAGGCTTGGCAGGGAGTGATGCATTCATATCCCAACAATGGAGTTAAGTTTGTAGAAGTCTAGTTAAGCTTTGTGGATACCCAAGTAAGCTTTTATTTGTAGTCTGCTAGTACAGAGTTCAGGACATACTGTTAGAGATGTTTAACGCTCGCCAATATATTTCGTTGTCACTTTTAGGTGTGTTATGAAGATGGATCACCATTGTCCTTGGATCAATAACTGTTGTGGATATCAGAACCACGCATACTTCACTCTGTTTCTCCTTTTAGCCCCACTTGGATGCATCCATGCATCTTTCATTTTTGTTATGACCATGTACACTCAACTTTATAACAGGGTAAGATAATCTAATTCAGTGTTCAAAACATTGTCTAAACAAGCAGGCTAATTTATATCTGGACAGGAAGATGTGATGCCTCTGAAACTTTCTGGCAGCTGCCACAGTAGCTAGAGTTTTCTTACACTATTTAGGGACTAGCAACAGATTCTGAGTAGTGCTGCACAGGGACGCGTAGTCTTTTGATTTGTTATTTTAGTATGGTATGTCAGGCAGATACCACTGACTTCCTTCTGCCTGTTACCAGAAGTCAGGAATTTATTCCTGTGCTCAAAACAGTCTACCTTGATTATCCCAAGAGTAGTCTAGGACTCAAAGTAACTTAAATAAAACAGTTTTATTTAAAAATCAAAATCAAACTTGGGCAGAATTTGCTTTGGTATCCATGCCTTTTCCCAGAATTGTGCTCTAAATTCTAAACAAAAACAAAATTATTTCCAGCCTTCATGGTTGCAAAGAAAAGCTTGAAAATTATATATTCAGTGTAACCGAGGAAGTGATATTTCCTGAGTTTGTAGGCAGCCTAAAGCAGTCATACTGACAGGTGAGAACGGCATCCTCCAGCTTGTGGACAGTTTTCTTCAAAACCTTCAGATGAGCTCCTGTGGCATAAAAAAACCCAGACATTTTGTGGCCAGCATAATGTTTATCTAAAGACAGTGAAGGAGTTCTGCTAGTGTTCATGGAATCTAAAGGTTTAGCTGCAGAATTTAGCTTGCTGCAGACTGCAGAGAAAAGTGAATGTGGTGCCTGAGCACAGACCTACTCATGGCAAAGAGCTTTCTACAAGCATGTCTTCTTGTAATCACTGTACCTACTATGATATAACCTTAGAGGCTGGAATTTATCTATAAAGCCAGCCACTTCAAGTTGTCTTATTCCAGCAACTGGAATATTCAGCAATTTATAATTATATTTTTCTACTGATAGATATCTTTTGGGTGGAGTTCTGTAAGGATTGATATGAGTGCAGCCAAAAGAGACCCTCTTCCAATTATTCCCTTTGGATTGTCAGCATTTGCTGCATCTCTCTTTGCCTTGGGACTGGCATTAGGAACAACTATAGCAGTTGGTATGTTGTTTATTATCCAGGTGAGTTTGACTGCATTTTGTAATACATAACTAAATACTGTGAGAAGTACTTGGGTCCCTAATGGTCTAAAGCAGGGGCAGGCAATTATTTCAGGTGGAGGGCCGCTTACTGAGTTTTGGCAAGCCATTGAAGGCCACATAACAGGCAGCCAGGGGCAGATAAATATTAATTTTCTAAATTTTTTAGGGGCCCTGTGAGCCAGATAGAATGGCCTGGAGGGCCGCATCTGTCTGACAGGTCGCATTTTGCCCACCCCTGGTCTAAAATGATGGAAGAGGAAGATCAGTATTCAGGATTAAGATGGAAGCAGTTGCTCAGAAATTCTGTTTTCCTGTAACTCTTCTCAGATTTTTGTCTTGCATTCTTATTTCTCTGTTATTTTTACTCTTTCTCTTGTTGAAAAATGTAGGGAATGCAGTTAGCAGATATATGAGTTAGGACTCCTGGGTTCTCTTTCAAGAAACAGAGATCACTTAATCTCTCTGTGTCTCCATGTATCCATCTTTAAAATAATAATAATGGTTGTTCTGGTGACTAATGAAGTGGGAGGAAGGGGGTTTCTTTGATCAACTGGTCAGAGATCTTAAGAAGGAGGTAATGACAGAAGTGCACAAACTCCTATCATGTGTTATAGTTCAAACCTAAAATGGACATTTTATAAAAGGAATGAAATTAGAATATTAGCATGCTGAGTTTTGACCTGCTAATATGTTACATATTTTATGTAAAGATACTTGTAACTTTTATGTTTTCATGTAGCATTGGAATAATTATGCTAAGTTGAATTATGCTAAGTTGAAGTCAATGTACTTTCTGTTTATGGATAATGCTAATTTTCTCAACTTCTTCTATTTTTAAAGATGAAAGTCATTCTGAGGAATAAAACTTCAATCGAATCCTGGATTGAGGAGAAGGTAGGCATTGATTCTATGGTATGTTCTTTTATAATACTTGCTCTCTGGATATATCTGTTTCTGTGCCCCTCTGATTTTAAACCTCAGGTGTCATTTCAGTTGGCCTATAATTGTCCCCTGTAGGACTCTGGAATGTATTTTAATAGAAGCAAACCCTGTAAGAAAATCTTACCTTCTTTATTTGGAGCAGAGGAGATGAACCTAAAGAGTCAATATTTTCCTTTTGACAACTTTGCTACCTGTCCATAAGATGTAGCTTTCTATCTAATGTTGACCTTTCTCAGTTATCTGTTTATCCAAGCATATCTTTTTTGGCAAAAAACAGTAATGTTCTGGTAACTACCCATTTTGATCTTGTATATTCCTCATCTCCAGGGATCTGGGTTTTCCGTTTTCCACAGAAAAACAGAGAAACCCACGGATTTTCCCCTTTGCCAGAGGAAAACACAGATTTCTCATTTTACTGGAGAAACCCGTGGATTTTGCAGTTTTGCAAAGAGCTCCCTGCAGGCTGGCAGAGTTCCAGCCTGCAAGGGGCTGGGGGAGTAGGAGGAGGGTGGTCAGGCAGGGGTTGCCTATGTCTGCCTTTGTACGTACATGGCCACCAGGCATCCTGGAGAGCAGCTCGTGTACATAAGGTGGGAGTGGGGGCAGGGATTTTTAATGTGGGAGGGAGAGAGTTGTCAGGGTTAGGGCTGCTGCCAGCTGCTAACCCTGGGTGGCTCGTCCAGGGGAAGAGGGGTGGGGCTGGTCCCTGCGGCTGTGCTCATTCCCAGGAGGGCAGAGGGGACCTGTGCCTGTTGCCTCTCCTCCCGCCCGATCTGTGCGCAGGGCTGTGGGCTTGAGCTCACTGCCCTGCTGCCCTCCCTTAGGGTGTCCACATCCCAGCCACTGCAAGGCAGAGCGTGGCTGTGCAGGAAAGCTCCTTGCTGCTGTGAGCTCCGCACTGCCCTGGCAAGGCATCCACTGCCTGCGCAGCAGAGCTCACAGCAGCAAGGAGATCTTCGTGCGGCCCCACTGTGCCCTGTAGGCTGTCGCGCCTGCCAGTGAGGGGCCTTTCATTTTGATCACGGATTCTGGGGGTTTTATCAGAGAATTTGCAGTTTTTTATCTGGGAAAACCAGGATTCCTGCTCCTGGTCTTTTCCCTTTTTTCTGTAACTGCTTGAGAAAGAAAAGCCCTCCCTAAACTTAACCCATCTGGCCATTATCTTCTTTAAATCCCTCTTAGAGACAGGCTTCTTCTGTTTCACATAACTAAAGAGTCAGCCAACAGCACCAAGGATAAGAGGCAGCAAGTAATGCCCAATATTTATATTATTCAGTGCAAGGTGTTCAGAGACTCCAATTTGTAGACATGCCTGAGCTGCATGAACTTTGGACTGTTATCTTTGTCTTCTGTCCTGTTCTTTATTAAAATTACTTTTATAAGTCTTGTCTTAGATTGGACTACTAGGACAAGGGCTATGAATCTGTGCAGTATCTAGTATCATGAAGCCCTCTGCGTTTACAGTCTAGCACAATTAAATCTTATTCCTAAAATGGGTCTTGAAGCACTACCTTAATGAATATAGAAAATTAGACACCAAGAATAGAATTCTCTAGTAATATGAAAATACTAAGCTAATGAAAGACTTCCTGGTGCAATTTTAGATTACTAATTCAATTTCCCTCTTGAAAATTGAACATAATGGATACTAAAGAAATCCTTGTATTTAAACAAGTTGCTATATGTAAGATTTTACTCTTCTGCGAGTGCACCGCTAGATGTCAGTATTGCTTAAAGAAGTAAAAGTTTGTTACACTAGGCAACAAAATTGAAATGTATGTGATAAATGACGTTATTGTAGATATTAAACTATGTTTATGTTTCGTTAAGGCTGTGATATTCTTGGAAGGTCTGAGGACTTCAGGTAACTGAACGCCTTGTGGCAAGCTTTGAGAAATAGTTAGGCATCAGCTTTTTTTAAACCACAGGAATTTAGAACGTGGCATGGCATAATCTCTGGTCTACCTAGCTGACACTGTAAGAAGCAGCTGAGTAAAGCTGTGTTAGCTGCAGCATCTACCACATCCAGTTCAGTAATGTTTTCTAAACTAAGAATGCTGTAGCAGTATATTTCTACTCAAGCGTGTGTGCTTGGTTATGTGGGCTTTGGTACTCCAGCTCAACCCTTCACTGTCCAACTGTTTGCTGTTAAATCCCACCGTGAATTGATTTTTATGTCAAGTGTGTATTTATTCTGCACAGGCCAAAGACAGAATCCAGTATTACCATACGGGTGAAATCTTCATTTTTCCTTATGACATGGGAAGTAAATGGAAAAACATCAAGCAAGTGTTTACATGGTCTGGGATTCCCGAGGGAAATGGCCTGGAATGGCCTGTAAAAGAAGGCTGTCACCAGTACAGTTTGACTGTAAGTGTTCTGCTTTGATGCCTAAGTATTTCCACCACTTGCACAAAAGGTTATTTTGTTTTGCAGTCATTCACTGGGTTTTTAAATAACCACAAGCAAAATAAGAGCATTCAATAGAACAGATACATTGGAAGTAAAACTCTTTCAAAACCTTCCCCTGTTACTAATAGTTTTAGAATGCTTTTTTGTATAGAGGGCTATAGGAATGTCTATTTCTTCGCGTTTGATCTAACTGTTGCTGTTTTGTGTGGACAAGTCCTATTTCAGTTTTTCATTTAAATTGATTCTGCAGAGAAACTGAATGAGAGGCTTGTGTGTTTCTCTTTCTCACCCCAGTTTTTTTCCCAGCATAGTTAGGGCATTAGTTTTAGTTGGCTTAGTGAAGTTTACCTATTTAATGTAAATGTACAAATTGTTCTTGAAATCCATCCATATTTGTTCAGTGGTCAGTTGGCCTGTTTTGTACAGAGATTAAATGAATAGGGTAATAAGGAGTCTAATCTAAAAAATGTATTGGAACTTTTAAAATACCTTTTCTTACAAACTACTTCATGTATAGGATTTTTAAGATATTGTGCTTTTCCTTATGTACCTTTTTATCAAATTTTAAATATGCTGTAAAAAAAACAACAAAAAAAACCTTAATTTTGGGTGCAGAATGCTTTACCAGTCGTTATGTTGCCCTTCAGCATACTTACCTTCACCTCAAGTTAACAAGTATTTGCTTTGTAATTTGATGAAGGAAGCATGTCTTCCTTCCTTATATCCTCTTATCATGTAATTTTAAAAGTCTCATTTATATAAGGCAATATTTACCAATAACATGGTCCCTTCTTGTGTTGATAGGTTCTCCTTTCATGTATAAATTACTCTTTTTGGTAGAACTGTCATGGAGTGTTCGCTGTGTAATAAGTGCAGGAGCAGGACAATTGGTTCATGCAGAGCTGCATGCTACCCAGCCTGACTGCGTCTAGTACCCAAGCTAGTTTCAGTTTCCTTATGCCTGGTCTACAGCAAAGTCTGGCCCGTGGGCTGTATCCGGCAGGCAGTGTACTCCATTTCCCAGCAGCCCCTGTCCACGTGCCTGGGGCCAGTTTCAATGGAGACCCCAGCAGCAGCCCTGCTGTGATAATGTGGGGCCAGGGTTTCTGTGGAGACTGGCCCCAACAGCACTGGCAGGGCAGGGAGCTGCTCCAGAGCCTGGCTAGGATCTTGTGGCAGTGACCACATGAGCCAGGGCAGAGCTCTGGTCTGCAGGCTGTATGCTCCAGGCAGGGATGTGCAGGCAGTGGCTCGTGGCTCTGCCCCAGCTCCGGACCACGCTGTCACTGCTGCAGGGGGCCAGGGCAGAGCCATGATCTGCTGACTTCATGTGCCTGCCCAGAGCACGCAGGCTGCAGATCACAGGTCCACCCTGGCTCTGGACCCACACGGCCACTGCTGCAAAATCCCAGCCTGACCCCAGAGCAGCTCCCCACCTTGCCGCACATCCTGCCAGCGCTGCTGGGGCTGTGGTCTCCATGAAAACCCCAGCCCCACACTCTCACAGTGCAGCTGCTGCTGGGGTCTCCATGAAAACCAGCCCCAGCCATGCAGGCAGGGGCTGGTAGGAAATGGAGTCCAGCTGCCGACCAGATCTCCCATTTTGCCCACCCCTGCTGTAGACTCTATACTCAGAATGTATTAAGAACACGAGTGGGTAAAGCAAGTAGTGATTACAGTTCCAAATTATGTGTCCCTCTAGCACAGTTTATGTGATTGAGGCAAAGAGCGCTGAATGAAGCAAGAATGGAAGCCCAGGGATCCATTTGGTAATCCATACAGGGGAACAGGAGGTGCTCAAATCTTGTAGTGCTAAGTAGGGCGTAGGAACCCATGTAGAATGAAGTGACCTCTTATAGGTGAGACTAAATCCAGAGCCTAGTCTTCTTGATCGTTCAGCAAGTAGGTGTCCTTAAGCCAGATATTGTATAACTGTTTTGTAGAATAAATGGCTTTAAGTACCTTACTCTTCATTCTTGGGTGTATTGCCTATAATCTATTGATCAGTGCATTATTGTTGAGGTTTGACTGCCAATTTCAGTAGTGCCACCAACAGCAGAGTTCACTTCGGTGTCTTGTGGTTTAACCTTGCACCTGTGAAGTTGAGCTGTCAATTTGGATGGGAGCAAAAGCAGGCCCTTAGATACAGAATAGTAATATACCAGCAACAACAAAAAATATACTCAAAATTGGTAACTCATTGTTAATTACATGCCACCTTATACTTCTCTTTATAATGTTTTACAGGTTGAGCAGCTCAAACAAAAATCAGACAAGCGACTAAGAAGCGTAAGTATTTTGTGTGGTGCTTGCAATCTGAGGCCATAAACAGACGTCATCCTCGGAGTGGGATCAGCTGGGCCAGGCTGTGTTCTGGCACAGCTGATCTGCTTCATTGGGTGACACAGATGTCACCTGTTGTCCTGTATGGTCAGGCCCCTGCCACTCTACGGGCTTCAGGGACCTGATCCTGCAGGGCAACTTGAATGGGGTTGGCAGGTGGCCGTGCACTATGCACACCTGGGAACCCCTACTTGGAGATGCCTGGGGCATGCCTCTGCAAGCAGGAAGACCCAGACAGGCACTTCCTGCGCTCCAGGGGTCCAGTCCTGTGCTCCAGGGGTCCAGTCCTTCTCAAGGTACACAAAATCAGGTCCCTGAAGCCCTGGGAGATGCAGCCAGAGCAGCTGGAGACAGCTCTAGGCTATCTGCATTCTTTTGCCATAAAGCAAACCAACATCCACCACACACAAGCAGTACAGATTTTTACCATCTGTTATCCTGGCCACAACTTTGGGCATTTGTGGCATGACAAGGGGTATGGATGTCTGTTTGGATGTCTGTCTGTGCCATATACTTTTTTTTATGGTGCCACAAAGGCAATGTCTTTTTGAAACCTTACATGTTTCTTTGCAATTCTTATTTTTCTTTGTAACTTATGCTACCCAACTTAAACTTGTGAAAACAGAGACCTCAGTTTTTCCCAAAAACAAAACACTTTAATTCAGGGGTTCCCAACCATCATGTTGGCTGCCGGGCTGTGGCTTCTGCCGCCAGCAGTAACATGCATGCAGGGTTAAAGCTGGGCGGCAGGGCAGCCCTGGGAGGGAGGCAACCAGCTCTGTCCTGTCCTGCTGCCATGGCCACACCTGGCGAGGCGCTGTCTGTGCACCAGGTACTGGGGCCTGTCCTGCCCAGCCCAGCACCCCCCAGCCCCACTCGCGACTTGGAGTGGGGGGATGCGGGCAGGGAAATGGCCAGGATGGAGGACAGGGAGGTAGCTCTGCTGCTTGTTCCTAGGCAAGGCAGCAGAGTCCCTTCTTCCCAGGCAGCCCCATCTGGGTCCCTCTGGGCTGCTGCTTGTTTAGCCCCCTCCCCTTCAGGGTACCCCGGTACCCCAAACCAATATGATCTTTGCAACCCCGCCCCGCCCTACCCCACCTGGTAAAAATTAGATTTAAATATGTAAATTAGATTGTTTGCTGGTCCTCACTATAAAAAGGCTGGGAACCCCTGTTCTAGTTAAAATGTATCTAACTTAGTTTGTACTCATTCGTTGGTTTCTAGATAGTAAGAACTTTAATAGCAAGCAAAAGCATGCCACATGCCAAGGTCATGCATATGTCTCCAGGACAGTAGAAAATATGGATGATTCTACTCTTCCTTCTCAAACAGTTAACCCAGGCTTAGGTGTCTTTTTGACAGCAGTTTTCATCACAGTACATTAGATTTCTCAGTATGTTGTTAACTGCTTGGTAAGTTTAATGAAAGGGTTTATATGTCCTGGTACTTGTGACAGCCGGAGATTAGACTTGATGAGCTGGGAAGTCTCTTCAGTGCTACATTCCTAACTGGTGTGGTTATGGCAAATGATGGGAAAACTGATACAGACGGCAAACACACACAAGTGCTCTCAATACTATACTATCTGTTTAAATTTACAGGTGCGGTACCAAGCAGTAGAAGACTACAGTGGTGCCTGCTGTCCCATGACTAAAGGTGTTAAAACATTCTTCACAACACCCTGCACTGAGGAACCTAGAATTGCACTGAGTAAAGGGGATCTGATTTTAGCCACAAGAGGCTTAAAGTTAGTGGCTTTGCATAATTAAATCTGATTAAGACATTTGTGAGATTAGCCCCTGTGTCTAATGGCATTATTTTTATTTTCTTTTTCAGACACTGGATGTATGGTGAAAGAATTCTTGACTCAACTACTGATGGTACAAAGCAGTTACTTGTAGTTGCTTTCCATTTTCAAATATGTTCTATAATTGTGTAAAAATATGGCATATGAGACCAGCGTAATATAGGTGGGACAGTCTTTGTCCTTGAAAACTGTAGGTTAAAAAAAATGTCCTGTACCTGAAATGTGGGAAATATTTATTGTTTGATGATATGCCATTTTATATTCTGAAGATCACTTACAAAAAATGACCCAGTACATCCATCCAGTTCCTTTTTATTAATAATAATTGATAGGCGTGACCAGTTTGATCAAAGAGCAATTTAGTCAATCAGGAAAAAGAAAACATCTTGGATGGTGTAAAGAGCATTGGGCAACACTTTGCTAAGTAGAAAGATTTCATGATAATAGTGGTGCCTACTCTCGTACTGATTTGTCATTTTGTTTTTGCTACTTATAGGATGGAAACCTGTTATAACTTAATAAACAAACAGTTATTAAAAAAAATTATAGTGTGCAGAATAGACCAGTATGAGATCTAAAACTTGTTAGTATTCCTGATGTATGACTTACTCCAAGTCCAAGTTTTACAAATAATTCAGAACAAAAAAGTACTGAAGTGTTCAGGCCAGTTCAGAAAATTTAATCTTAACAAGCTACGTTAGATTTTACAGTAATGTAATTCTGGTTCTTCTTACTTTTCTAACCCCCATCTGGACACAATTCCAAGTTTTTATGTTTGACTTCAAACAATTGGGAGTTTAATGCTTTACACAGTAGAAAAGCACTTTAGGATTCCTCATTCTGATCATGTTATTCCAAACTCCAGTCTGGGTGGAATGAGGAAGACGCACAGAGTCTCTGAGGGGGCGGGGGTTGTCGTGTGTGCACTCCTACGTGCTTGCTTAAATACCTTTCCTGGGAAGTCTGAGAGCTCTTAGGGCTAGAAATGCTTTGGCAGTTAACTTTGCGGCACTTTTCCAAACACCAATCATAAACTACTCATCTGAATGAGCAAATGTGAAATTCTCAGTGGCAAAGATCATATTATTCCTTCTGTATGTAGATTCAGTGTAGGAAAAACTAGCAGTTGCTCTGTTCGACAGTTAATGTAATTTGTCTTGCCTCTAGGTGAAACAAGAGTCAGAGGATGGTTCCCAAGGAATTGCGTGGAAAAGTGTCAGTATGATTCTGAACTGGATCAACCAGTCGATGGAGAAAAGAAAAATAGATAGCCCTTTCACTATTTTTATTAATAAATGGAAATTTTCCTTTCAGAACACAGTCCGTTACTTGAAACCTTGTGTATATTACTTTAGATATATGCAATTGGTATGTTACAAGAGGGTTTTAATTTCCTCCCAATGTAAAAGTGCTACAGTGCCATGATCTATATTTGTTTTTTTTTAACACATTTTATAACTGATAAAATCATTCCATGGATGATGCCTTCAAGTTTTTCACCCTAGGGCGGATTTGATTTCCATTTTATTTTATTGTTTAAATTAAGAATATTTTTTTAATTATACCCTGATGGGAGAGGGGATGTTGTTTTAATTTTTCCACAATCACATCTGCATATGATGCGTGCTGCTTTTCTTTTGTAGCTTATTTTGCTTTGTGTCTTAAATGGGCCCCTGAAAATAAATTTCAAATGCAAGTATAGGATTTGGTACCTGCAACTTTTAATAATGTGACTTGCCAATCACAAATAAACACCAATGTGTATTCTGTATGTCTGCTTATGTATTTTCCAGTGTTCAAACTGCTATAGTGATCAATGTACAGGTGCAGAAAGATGTGGGGATGAAAAAGGCAACTTAATGGTGGTAAGGTTTTAAGAGCCAGAGGCTTAACAGAAGACACAATTTTAGCTCTTAACGATAATTGGTCCCCTTTATGTTTGGATAAAGGAAAAAATTCCAAATAATTAATGGTGAAAAGTCACAGGGCTAGCTGCATTATTTGTGGTCATAGCACCCTTCCTTGTGGCTTGGGGTCTTTGCTATTACCTATAAAAACAATTTGAGATGCGTGAGGAAAGGCTGAAAGAACTAGGGTTATTGTGTCTGGAAAAAAGACTGAGGGGAGGGATTTGACGAAGTCTTCCAGTACATGAATTACAGATAAAATGGAGATTGGTCTTTTCTCTGTGGCTTTAGGGGGATAGGACTATGTGCAATGGCTTCAAACTGTTGCAGAAAGAATTGAGGTTGGAGAGTAAAAGGATTGAGACTACGCTACCTAGAGAACTGGAATTTCCATCCCTGGAAATTTTCCCTGATTAGGCATATACTGGCTCTGATGTTTTAGGCAGGGATGATTCTGGCTTGAGCAGGGAGCTGGACTAGCTGACTTCAGGAGGACCCTTCCAGCCCTACTTTCCTATGAAGCTATGATCCAAGGGTAGAATTTATGATTCTTTAACATTAGGCTGCGTGTAGGCCTCTGTATGTCAACTGCTTGTTACCCTGCAAGGCTTAAAGATTTTGGAAACCAGTGACTAATGAGTAACAAACATCTTTTCTAAAAACTATTTCTACATTAGTTGAAAAGAGGGGCACCTATACACATACATTGAGGCTGCTCTGACACACTGACGCACAATGTGTCAGAGCAGACTATTAATAGTCTGCCGGAGCATGGTAATTACCATGCTCCAGTGGACTCCAGCGTCGGATGTATCAGCATTTCCATGCTGAAAAATGGCAGCAGGAGGGCTTTAAAGGTCATTTGATGAGCTTTAGCTAAAGCACCCCCACTGCCATTTTTCAGTGCAGAGACACATACACGTCACCCTCCAGATCCACTCTAATTAAAGTACCCCCCAACCTCCCGGAGCATGTGTATAAACACCCAAGAGTTGTAAAATTGGGTGATCACATAGATTAGACAGGTTAAACTGCTTAGACACAAACATGTAGGTGGGTATAGTCTGGTTCCCCATTTATCCCCCAAAAGAATATTTTAAATGCTGGATGTATTCCCAAGGTTCCTTTTGGTCAAGCTAATTCTGTAGGCTGTTGTGGGGTGGTAACAGAGACAGAAAGTTTAATTTTTCTGGCATTATCCCTTGGTTGGTAGGTATTTGGGCTATTCTGAACCATCTCTTTCTATGTGAACCATTCCAGATAAGTTATCAGACAGGAAACGATCCAAGGTAATTTTGGAAACAGAACTAGGCCAACCTTCTACTGCAGCAAATTTCTGAGGTACACACCCATGTATTATAGTGTGTTCTTCTGCAATGACCTACCCCTCTCCTGTTTCTAACAGTGACTAAATGCTGTTGACTTCAGCTACTTGATGTCTACAGAAGAACACCCCAACATACAGAGGCAAGGCTTACTGGGCCTTGCTTCCAGCAATGAAGTCTGAGCAGCCTGGGTCAGTCTTCTGCTTGTGTCAGGTGAGGGGGGAGCTTGCGCTCACTTCTGTGACTCAGCTACTATGTTTTCTAAACAGCTCATTTTTGTTAGCCGTCTCCGTCTTTAGAAGCAGACTTTGGTGGACAATACAATAGGCACATGCCACTCAAAGATGCCACGTTTGTCCTGGGATAAACCATGTGATCCGCAGACAAAGTGCAGTTGTTCAGATGTCCATCTCTATTGTCCTGGTATAGATCCTAAAAAGCTTCACAGGATAAGTAGTACTGACAGTTTAACTACACCAGGATGTCATAAATTGTGTCTGAACAGTTATCCTGGGATTGCATTGTTGAATCAATGACAGAAAAGTGACAGTCCATTCAGCTGGTCACTAAAACTGATTTAAGAGGGGGCTGTGTGTATAGGGCAGTCCTGGGTTATATCTGTTCAGGGACAAATGCAATGTCTCTTCCTAGCCTAAATTCGCCTGTTAGTAAAATGCAGGTTCTGCCAGGGCTACCATACCAAAGCACCAAGCCGATTTAAAAGGGCAAGCTCTGTGGCAAAAATACTCAATTCTGCACTATCATGAAAAAAAGTAGCCATAGATTTTTGTATCGGCCTCGTGCTGAATACAAAGTTCATACTTTTCATTGTGAGTATTTCCAGATGCATTACCAACTTGAACTGTTTGTTTTTTATATTTACTTGACTCCCCACCTGAAATTCTTTATACCTATGAGATTCACTGAAATGAAAGCAGAGCAGGGAGCACAAATTTTTAGCAAATCCATGACATGTTTAGCTTGTGTCCCCTGAACTTCACCCATGCTAAATCAGAGAGTTTTCCTGGAAGTATAAAACATGCCTTGTTTTATGAAGACGATGCAAGACGGACTGACTTTTCTGTGTCTTGAGAAAAGTTTGGATCTATTCAGTTTACAGGAAAATTAAATTACAACTGCAAGCATGTCATGGAGTAGTTCTAAAGATGGGCCTGCTACCAAGTCAAATGTAGGATGGGTTTAGGACTTCTAATTAGGTTAATTCTTAAAGCTCTGTTGGATGACAAGAATCTGACTTCGTACTACACAAAAAAGTGTTTTGCAAAGTTTGCTGTCTTTCCCTCCCTCCTTTCCCATATTTATATATATTAAAAAATAAGGTTTTGTTTAGGTGAGAGCAACCTAGTGGTAGTATACCATCCTTTAAATCCCAGCAATATTCCTGCAGTTAATATTTAAAGCTAAGAGCTGAATGAGTTCATTTTATTTAGGATTTTGGGAGTAATATAAACATGCCTCTGGTGCTAAGAATCAGAACTGGAAAGATCAAAATGGGGTTTTTTTAAACATTTCTTCATAGAAAGCTGTCGACAAACTCGGTAATTTTTCTTTGCTTTAGTGCACTAATTAAAATAATCTGCTTGTGGTACAGGGCAGACACTTCCTGATGGACAGTTTGTCACTATTGGGTTTACACCCATGGAAATCAGAGGCAGGCCAATATGGATTCTGGAGACTCCACATCAAACCCCAACCATCCAACCTATGCCTGTAAGTGGAATAAGTTGGCAGTCTAATCAAACACTTCAGTTTAAACTTCAGTTTTTGTTTGTTTCTTGAAGTGGTAGACTTGTCTCTTTCCTTTCCTCCACAGTTCTTCCACTCTGGGACTTTTCAGATCCCACTTGGTCATTGCAAAACTCCCCCTCCCCACCCCCCAACAATGAGGGGAGAAAGAAGACCTGTTTCTTACGTAAATCAACATTTATGGACCCTCTTGAGAGCAAATGATCTCAAAGCTACTCATAGGTCTTAATCAGGCCAGGAAAACAGATTCCCCTGTGCCAAGGGACCCCATCTCCGACACAAAATCAGGATGATCACAGTTTCTAGTGAACATATCTCACAACAGATATGTTGTCTCCACTAGTGGGCTGGATCCTCAGCCCCCCAGTAGAAAGCTACAGGGTTTCTACCCAGCTCCCTTTTCTCCCACAGAAGCAAGTAGTCTGCACAATTTCTAAAGTGAACCTTTCACATTTCTGTCAGAGTGGGTCAGAGACAAAAACCCACATGCATCATCTTCCCTGGGTGATTAATGCTGGTAGTGAACAAGTGGGATGAAAAACTCAGAAGTTAACCCTTCCTTCTCTGGTTTGTCCCCTGTGGTAGTGGCTGCTGGGGTCATTGTACCTAGAGGTTCTCAGAGCCCAGTGGCTTGCCTTGGGCACATGGTAATAGGAATGATGCCTCTCTTTGTACTGAAAGTAAGATCTTCACTCTTCAAGGAAAGATTCAGGTAGCAGTTAGGTGGGGTTCAGAGCTGAGCAGAAACAAATCTTTTTTTCTGCCAAGGAAAGGAGAGTCACAATGCGTGTGTAGGAAAGGAGGAGAGAGTTTTTTTCACTCCTATTCTTCTGGCTGGTTCTATACAGTATTAGTGCCTAAGGAAGCACCTGAAACCATTTTCCTAGATTGAAGGCACTTGATTCCCTTCTCACAGCCCTGTTGAATGTAGATTAATGGTGACTCCTGAACTAGCAGATAAAGACCTGACTGGTTCTAGCACTCATTTGGGTGCCAGCCTGCTGAGGGAGCAAGCAAGCAATTCTTTGGGCTTTAAAGAACAAATAGCTAGCAAGCTACTAAGGAATTTTTACAAGTATGCTTGGGCTGTACAATTTCCCAGACCAGGGAGAAGAGTGTGCTACCTTTCTGCTGTGCACAGCTAAAGTGTTTAAATATTTATTTTTTAATGCTGCTAATAATCCTTACAACAGGGCTCAAACTGCAAGTTAGACATGCAGGGTGCAGGTGGAAGTGACAGTTTTTTGGGTGATCTGGCCCTTGAAAGTGCTCTGCAGCCATGAATTAATGCACATGCATGGCTGCAGGGAGCTTTAAAAAAATGGCCAATTACACAAAAACTTAACCCTGGTTAAGTCAGGCATTACATTCGGGTGCTCAAAAGCAGAGCACCTTAGTGAACTTGTGTTCCTTCTAGGGTTAATTTTTCACATGGGGTGCAGGGCTGGACTGGTGCCCAAATCTGCCACCCAGATTGAGAGTTCCCCTGGAGTACTGAAGGCCACTGCACTTCCAGAGACATGGCAGCAAGCCTCAAGAAGTCCAAAGGAGAGCAAACAAATTGTGACATGAGAAATAGTAAGGACCAGGATTTAGTCAAGGGCACTGAGGGGGATTAGCAAGAGTTCAAACACAGAAAGGTTAGAGAAAATGGCTCAGTTGTTCTGTATATCAAACAAGAACAGGACAACTAATAGGCTTAACATTGCAGCAAGGGACATTTAGTTAGCTATTAGGAAGAACTTTCTAGCTATAGATGTGGTAGGCCCCTT